GGGGGGGGGGGCAGCTCGCGTTACAGATGGGCTCAAATATGCCACTTAAACTCCCCACCCATGCTCACGTCCATGAAGTCAGAAAGCTCCAGAAGAAAAGGACAAACGAAAAAAGCCGAGCCTGCAATGCCCCCCCCCCCGAACTCCCCCCTCCACCAAATCACCGGTTTTCTTGCGGTAGGACGCAAAGTGCTCCGACGCGCCCCCCCACTCGAGGGGGTGGGGGGTGGGTGGTGGTACCACGTATTTCCTAATCATCCGCTGGCGGGAAAACGAGACACAGATGTCCTCCCCGGAACTTTCCACAGGGCATCTTTTGTTTCACTGTGGCTGACGAGCCCCGGGGGCGTGATTTATCCCGCGTCCGGGGGCGGCGGGCGACTGCCTGTGCCGGACAGGCTGCTGGACCTCCGGGACACGCAAGAGGAGCAAGGCCTCTGCTGACTTTAAGCAAGAAAGGTACCTGCCATATAGGACTATATCAGGACATCAGTCAGCTTTAATCAGGCAGAATATCACCAATGCTATTTCGTGTTACGCAATTTTACCTGCATGTACAGAATGGTTTACATTTAGGATTGATCTAGTTCAGGCTTGAAAGGTAGGGGAACACCCTGGAGAAGATGCACAACTACATCAGTGTAAAACTTCATGCTGGTTCATTATTGGACAGTGTGATGACATGAAGTCCAAACTGTCACTGTAAGATTTCCAGAGCAGTGATTTAACTGTGAATCGCGGACACACCTCTCCAAGTCGGTTATCCGTAGGCTTACAATACCAGCTTCAGCCTGTCTGGGGTGGGTGTTACTGCTGCCCTCTAGTGGTGCTAATCAGCTATTACTCCGGCCCTGTTGTAAAATGTCATGGCACCCCCGGATCACAGGAGCGTCTTCATGACCCCTGCTCAGCCACATTGGTGCAGACGACCCAGTGAGTCACATGACGTGGCAGAGGCATAGCCTTTAAAGGAAAGCCCACATTATCGGGGCGACAAAGGTCATCACAAAGGTCGCCACAAAGGTCATCGCGTCCCACCCCGTCACGGACACAGGGGGCGTACGTAGATGTCTCTGTGTCGTTTGGAAACACCCGTTCCTGACCAGGCTGTCGTCCCACCGCGATCATTTACTTTTCGTCGCTGCGTAATTGTATAGATTCAGACGCACAATGCGCGTCAGTCAGCCAGCGAGGAGCAAAGTGCACGCTTTGGGATGGACGACTTTTAACTAGAAGGTCCTTCAGACTTCACTCCGCCCCCCCCCCCCTGAAGTTGTCAGCCCTGTCACCAGTAATAAGAACATTGCTGACAGAAAAAAGGCTAAAAATATATATAGAATTTATAAACATGGGGGGGAGGGGGGGTTGCACAGGTTTTGGCTGCGTTTGGTTGCCCCTCGCCTGTAATTACAAGCCACGGCCTTAAAGGGACACTCAGGGCTGTTCATATTTCACAGCAGGCGCCATGGTGGAGAGAGAGAGATGACGACGTGTGTTACAGAGAGTGAAGCCGCTTCGGTCGGCGACGACACCTGCATGCAACCTGGTTTAGAATCAAACGGCTTCCTCTTACGGCCGAGAGACACTGCAGATTCACAGCAAGTCGCCGATCTGTCACCATCGCCACCGCTGCGGTCACCATGGGAGCCGCAGGCTGCGTTCCCACCGCGCGTGGACCGCTCTCACTCTGAGGAACCGAGACCGGCTGTAGCTCGGCCTTCTGTCACACAGGAAGCGCGAGTCCCTCGGCGCATTTACCGCATAATTAAAACCTCTGACCAGAAGCCCGCGTGGGTGAGACGCCAACGGAACCGGCAGCGGGAGCAGCTCTGGGCGGGTGTGCTGTGTGCTGCCGTGTCGACACACTGTGCCGATCTCACCGTGTGTCTGGCAGCGAGCGGCCGGGCGGATTTCCCGACAAAAAGACGGAAAACAGAGGAACGGAGTTAATGTGCTGTTCATAAGGTCTGCGCGAGGCTGCACTGGTCCTAGTAAAAAAACAACATTGCAAGGCCTCCATAAAGTCCACTCAGGATTCAGAAACAAAGTCCTCCAACCCAGCAGGTCCGTCAAAAAACTTGCCCATCTAATGCTGGTTCCAGAACCATCCATGTGTCATTTGGCTAAACACTCTTTAGCATGACAGAGCCGTTTACGCATGAGCTGTCTCAGAGCATTCTGGGGCATTACAGACACAAATCTGCCTGCACTATTATTTTAAACCATACACACATACATGCATACATACATACATACATACATACAATTATAAGTCAACGGCTGGGTAAACCTGCGAACCCAGCTAAGGTCAGTTTAATAGTGCTTTTGGCTTTTTGCACATAGTGCTTACGGGGGTGTGGAAAGCGAGCACCACCCTGTAATGGTGACACTGAGCGAACCGCTTGTGGTGTTGGAGAGATTCCACATCTGGGGCAAAAATGCACCGAAAAGCAGCAGAATATTCATGAGAGGCACGCAGTGGCCCGGTAGCAGGCGTCTGGGACCCTCAGCCAGTGCGCTCGTCCCCTTCCAGTGCGGCGTCGCACACTGGACGCCTCTGTTCTCAGTGACGGCAACAAAGGACACGTTTGATGGCGGCTGCCGGGGCTCGCCGATGACCGGGCACCGGCCCAGAAAGGCCGCTTTTGTGTCGGCCAGCGACTGGGGGCCAGACAGAGGGCCCCCCCTTGACCCCCCGGCCGGCCCGCGGATGGCTGGGGGGCATCCGGCAGCGACCAGCTGTGCGTAGAGGACCAGCCCCCTCCCCCCCCCAGCTCTCGAGAGGCGTATGGTGGTAAATTCACACATTACGACACGGTACACACACACTGCCTCAGATACCTTGGAAATATGACGAGATTGAATGAATTGTGTTTAATGCATCTTCAGAATGCAAAATAAAAACATTTAGCGATGGCATTACAGATGGTAGGAGCCGTAGCCCACACAGTTTTACTGGATATTTCATAAGCGTTGCAAAAACGCCATCTGAACCGAATGTAACCGCTACGCCCCCATTACACCCCCACTACACCCCCACTACGCGCCCACTACTCTACTAAAAAAAATCACTGAAGGTTTTTTTTTTCTCTGCACAGATCTGAACTGTTTCCCAAATAGCCTCCATTTGTGGCCTTGTGTTTGTGAATCAGTACTAATATTAAAACAGTCCCTGTGGTTCACTTGATACCCCCCTCCCCCCATGAGGACGTCATATATATCACATCCAGTTAACTATGCATCGCTACTCTTCTAACCAATGAGTACGCACAATGAAAAACAGTAAAAAGCCCCGCCTTGCCTGATCTCATGGTCTGCCTACAAACCAGTAGCGCGTCCGAATCTATAAACCCCAGCTGTTTGTACACTCACACCATTTCTGTGCTAACAAGGTACATCTCCCCCTTTTCAACTTGAATTAATGCCCGGGGGGGTTGGTCAAGGCTAATATCTCGTGTGAGGAGGTGGGGGGG